TCAGTATGTTATTCATTCGAGATTTCGTTCATTCGGTATGCTGTTCATTCGGGACTTCGTGCTTTCGGTATGCTGTGCATGCGGGATTTCGTTTGTTGGGCTTATGTATTGTCGGGATTGTGGTTGCTCTGTTATGGAGTAACGACCTTCTATATCACATTCTAGAATGATCAGGAAACTAACGATCCTTCACTACGTGAAAATTAATTGTTGTCCCATCCAACCCCCAAGTATACAGGAGGGTTCGTCACTGGCGAAAACGCGAAGACTGTACAGCACGTGATTTATCAACCGCTTAATAATTAATTGATTCTTTTAACGTCGTCGCTTCGCACCAGTAGAAGTCGTCGGGACGAGTAAAAAGCAATTAGGTTTATCTAGTACTTGTCATCTCTCCTTGGACTAAACTAATATACGAGAGAAGAAAGCCGCTTTACCTTTACGAAAATCTAACGAATCGCTACAAGTTCTTTTTATACAATATTCCCCTTTCTATTTACTTTCTTTGGAGTGGTCATGTTGCCGTATAAAGATCTTCTTCGTCAGGGATGTTGTCACGATGAAAATCCCATATCACCTATGTAACAATTTCAATAATGTTTCTAGCCATAAAGATAAACTAATCGAGATTAAAAAAGCTGATGTCAAACACCTTTGCTGTTGTAGGTGATATCTATCTAGACGTCGAATCAATCGGTGCTCTCGCTGTTGCTGTCGTTCCATCTGTTGCAACAGCAATGCTATATCTATTCCAGCTGATTTTAAATCAGCTAGACATCTTGGTGCTGTCCTTGGGTTTGTTGCATTTGTTTTTGTTGTCATGTGTTGTACAATTGTATTATTGGGAGTTGGCTAAAGCCTGATGTGTCCGGTGATCTGTTCGAGAAACAAGTCAATAAGAATGCGTAAATTTGTGATCAACTCGAAACAAATCCGAAGCACGAATGTAAAAAAAGGAAAAATATGCTTTAATCAAAACGTCGGGGAGGCAGTTTTACATATACTCTAGCCCTCCACTCTAACCATAACCCTAACGCTAAAAAATCAACCTTAGGCTTGAACCACTCCCTTGATTGGGCAAGAAGAGCGAGGAGAGAGCACGTGGAATAGAGCAAGTGTGTAAAACGAGAAGTGCGTAAAAAGCGAGAAGTGTAGAGCAAAAAGGTAGGTATTATTTTAATAACTGCGAATGTTTTACGGACATCTTACTCATCTCTTGATACACCCCCTGTATCTTGATGAAGGGCAGAGGAGAAAGTAGCAAAGAAAATTTTTTCGACTCAGAGGTCAAGAGGTATTTTTCCCTCCCATTTTTTAGTCTGGTCTGGTGATTTCCCTGGTGCTGTTTTATGCCTTTTGCTCGGTAAATTTTAAATGAAATGATAATATTTAGTGGTTTAATATTTTGAAGTGGTTTTATATTTTCTTTCTATTGTTTTCCATCATTACCGGCTTTCGGAAACTGCTCTTTCTATGACTAATGATACGACAAAATAGAAGCCGCTAGAATCTCTGAGAAATTCCTCAATCGTTTGATCATACGATAATCGATAATTGCGTAATGGTAATTAATCAGATTATAGGATGGTTTAAATACCCTGGTAGGATGTATATAAATACCTTTTGGAGACAATAAAAAAATAAAAATTTTTCCCACAAATAGATAGAGTAAAATGGTCAAAATCGGTTACTTTCATAAAAAAAAATTAAAAAAATTATGGTCATTTGGACGAACTAAGCCTGGAAAAACTCACGTTAATCAACAAGTAAATACATTCGATCTCTTTAACGATGACACACAAAGTATCACAGTTAATAACGATAATAACACACTAATTCAACCCACATCACGCAACGTCACAAAACTTAATTTACTTTCACCGTCAGATGCTGACTACCAAACAATCAACACCAAATTCATGTCGCATATTCCAGCGGCAACTGTGAGGGCAATCTTTTATCTCGAAATGCCCGAATACATTGTTGAGCGGCACGAATTGATGAAGAAAACGATTCCAGTTCCACGGCAAACATTTCACGGGACTAAACACTACTGTGATCCTAATCGTTATATCACTAGCAAAGGAGAAGCGAAACCTTGTGACAATGTTAACTGCGGATTGTGTGGAATTATCAAAGCCGGAAATCGTATTGATATGTCGAGTAGTGGTAAGTGAATTTCGTGATTTGAATCATTGTTTAGAAATTTGACATAATGCAATAATTACAATTTAAGGTATTTGGTCGGCCTTACACGCCACCACATCCTTAGCCTACACACTTCCCACACCAATGCGAGTAATGTTCGTACTTGACATTCTCTCAGATCTCCCAGATAATACGCTTACTCCATATGTTACTCAAGATGCGGTATGTCCTCATTTTTTTATAAATTGAACAATTTTGTAGTTAATATATAACGATAATAAATTTCGTATGTTTTTGTTAAAAGGCTGCCATACCGCGGTTCTTGATATTGTTTCAATATGCGTGAATGCATTTTTTAGATTATTTGGCCGTATTTACAGTGGCCGCATCACGAAATGTTTTACGCGAAAAAAATCCTTTAAAAATATCAATCCCATTTAGATCTATACGATTTATTTCTTTCAAGGCAAATATGATTAATAAAAAATGTTCTCTATAAAAACTACCTACATGCCAATTTTCAGCTAAATTGGAGAGTTGGCCAAATTGCAATGTTTAACACATGTGTTGTTTGTATACCCTTTACGGCATCAGAAAAATTCATCTCACGTGATCTCGTTTCTTGATACGAAACACTTCGTCATATTACATAGTATAATTTATCTCTTCTTCATATTATTTTAACTAGTTACTTTTTCCTCGTTGATTCCGCGTCACGATAATCCTCGTTTCAATAATACTTTTGAGTGTCATTTTTAAATATATTACTTCGCTCGTAACAGCTATTTAACAAAGCAAATTACGTTAAAGTTTGCAAACGAACAATTTCAAAGTGCACATTATTATGGGATAACTAAAAAACCCGAGTTACAAATGAATAGCAATTGATTTCCAGAGACCCATCTGCCACAGAGACCAAAAATTTCCTTAACCGAATCTAAGCTGATAACATCTGACATGATGCGACGATCTCGTCTTCGGCATGTAGAGTTTTATGCAATTATCCTTAGTAAAATCCTGAAACCTCTCCGAGGCGAATATACCATAATATGCATAGACGTGAGTGATTCGTGGCTTATTTTCGTCAATGATGCACCATACTTTGTCTTGAGCAGCATATTTCATGTACTCGTCATTGTCATTTACATTCCTCCTGAATCGTCACAAAATGAACACTGTGTATTCTGTTCGGTCTATCAGCACCCCTTTCTTAAGGACTGTTAGCATTAACCTTCAAAATAGGTCTTCCCAATGCCTGGGTACCTGTTATACACTAGCGCTGGCATTTTATCATTAAGTATGAAGTCGCGAAAAAAAAGGATAACAGCGGCGGTTGTAAACCGTAGTTTCACAAATTTCTGGAAGTTATAGCAACTTGAATTGACGCCCATTGATGTAGTCATCAATAATTTGCTGAGAACCTCTCGCAAGCTCTCTACAGCGTACGCGTATTCTAAAGTAGATAAAAGACGGCAATATTATTGGGAAATATTTCTTCCAATGCACAGTGAGCACATGCCTCTTTTTTTATTCTTTAAATTTGAAATAAAAAGTACTTTCATCAGTCTTGAAAGCTTTGACAATACGTCTACACAAATTCTTCTAATTGGACAAGACATACCAATGAGTCATAAGTCTGAGCGTTTGATGAAAACGCATAACACCGTAAAAACTGATAAGGGCTGTGACAGATATTACGTAATATCCTTAGGGGAGAGGAGGTACTGACAGTGTCTTATGTCTTATGTAATATATAAAGCCACATGCTTCAAATACCTTACCTGGGGGAAGGGTAGGTTCTACAGTAAACTTATATTACGTAATATATGTCACAGCCCTAATTATATACTTATCCTAGACAAACCGCGAATTCTATTAAGAGCAATCAAAGAAAAAAATGCAAGTTAGTCAATCAAAAATTCCCTCAAATGGAACAGATGAGTAACGATGGATAGAAAATAATTTGTACATTGTTATGCTCTACTCTTATTCCCTAAAGAACATACCCGTTACTTCCAATAAGCCTTGCAAATATTCTTTCTTTTGATTATTCGAGCTGAAGATTGCAGCGCGTTTGTTACCTTTTTTTTTGGTCACCGTTTCTACGAAATGAAGATGTAAAGTGAAGCCTGCTCATTTTCAGTCAGGGAGAGGTGGCAACTACATGTAGTTTGACAATTTCAGAGTAAAAATCGATCATGTTGTCAACGTAATATTTGTGTCACAACACGCATTGATTAAATCTATTTGTTATCTGAGAATCTGAGAATTTAGATATCGATATCAGTATTAGATAAATTCGTGAGATAAAATGCATGTACTACTAGGGTAGCACGTCAAATAGGAGCAAGTCATTTTCCCGATTGCGGGTTACAAAATTTCAAAACTTATTTTCTCAATAACCAGTGATCAGAATTTTTATAATTTGATCTTATTAAATTCATCTCCATAAGACAAACACGTTCATTTTATTCAGAATAATATTTATCGAATTGTTGCGATTTTTAGTTTTTTTTAGTTAAAAACGTTCAAGTTGGACCAATAAATTTTATTCAAACTTGCATTGGCACGGAAGAGATCACATCAAGTACTGATATTTTGGGGCATAATGCCCTACTCAAAGGCATTATCAAAATAATTTTTTTAATTTTATTATATAATTGAATGAAATATAATAAAAAAAACTGGCCGTCATTACTTTCTGCCAGAACTGTAATCGTGCAATAATTTCAACACAAATTTGAGTTCAATTTATTTTCTCCATGATCCCACCCATTTGCAATAGTGAAACGATGTTCTATAAATTGCGCCAAAACCTTCTTTTGCAAGATATTCAACATCGGTAAGTCTTTCAAAAGGGATCCATTTGAAATGATTATTATTTCCATGCATTCATTCATTAGACGGTCGATGTCTTTATTTCCGTTAAACCTTCAGCATTATAAATATAATCATCACATTGCCAACAGTCCTCATTGTTTCGACAATAAATAACATTTACTATTATGAACTGAACATTCATCGCAGCAGTAATCCCGTTTACAATACCAGCATTTACTACAATTATTAGATACAACCTTTGAGTTTAACGCTAAGATCCATAACGTTAATATATTTCTTGGGGTGAAAGTCTCGATTCACAAATTCCTTTTTGTGAATTGTTTCACTATCGAGTATTCATTCCATAATTAGAGCTAATTTTGAAAAGGTTAATTAGATTAAGGAATATGCTTACACTTTATAAGGTGTTCATTTATAAACTCGTATGTAATGTGCTTTGAATTGTGTAATGATTTCAGCACAACTTCGCGTTCACCACATCATTTAATTTTTTTCATGATCCCACATGGGAGATTTTTTCAATAGTCCGTCCAACAAACAGGTTGCTTTATAATTGATCCAAAACCTCCTTTTACAAGATATTCAAGATCCATTCAAATTTTTTGATTAGACAGACAGTCGATATCTTTATTTACGTTAAACGTTTCAGCTTTATAATTTAGTTTGTGATAATAACTTGACAGAGAGTACATTACTATGGTGCATAAAATCTAAAGTCATCAAACGTTTGTAATTTTATAAAATGTATAAACTTTTTTACTAAGCAGTAAATACAAAATTTAATCCGTGAATATGCTCAGAAAAGGCCTATTCTATTATATTCACGGATTAAATTTTATATTTACTTCTTAGTAAAGAAGTTTATACATTTTATAAAATACAAACGTTTGATGACTTTAGATTTATGCACCATACAATCATGAGTATTGTGAACTGAACATTCATCGCAGTAATTCAGTTCTCGACAACGAATGCATACGAGTATTCGAAATTTTAGATGCCATTTTTGAGTTAGTATTATGGTAGTGTTGTATTAACGTTAAGCGAGCATAATTAACGTCAAAGCCAAAAATAATTTGAAGAAACTGCACCGTGAATTTTGAATTATTCATGGCCGAAAAACAATTAGTTTGATTAAAAAAATTAACACAGTGCTATACAAATTTTTCTATGTAAAATGGTAACTCACGAATCGGAATTTAAGGGCAACAGATGTTACATTTAAAACATTTACCGTAAAATGCCCGAGGTCTTTTAAAATCCAACAAGAAAAATAAACGATTACATGTATAATTATAGCAAAACTGATTGAATCATTTCTCTTCGCCCAACTCTACGGGACAGAGATACACAATTGTGCGAGTTTAATTTATGTTATTGTGATAATGCTGTTTATATCGTAAAGCGAATAAATGCATATTGATATAATAATGATAACGTTAGTTTTTTGTTTGTTAAATCTGTTAAATATTGGTTCAATACAATCGGTTCCAACCTCTAATTGTATGCATAAAGAAGAGTATTATTTTGTATTTGATTTTTCATAACAACGTCTTGCGTGCCCAAAAAACATAAGTTTAATAGTTCTTTAAATGACAACTAACAAATTACAAGTTCTAAAAATAATTTCACCATTAAAATATCTCCATTTGCTCGATCAATTTCATTTCTAAACCCATCTTCCTCCATATCTTTCAACCCCATTCTAACCATAAGCAACTTGCTTTCGCTGTCATATTTCACTCTTTCATCATTTAACACCCTAATTCCCAGACAAGCTTTAATCTCAGATACTGGTCCATCCAAATAAAATCCAATCTCTCCGTACCCAATTAATTCAACCTTATAAATCACTCTGCTTTTTTGATCTTTTGCTTTGGATAAGCCTATTTTTGAATAGTAATCTTTTTCACTTATAAATTCAGCCGAGTGCACGGCTCTAGATCCGTTATATTTGTCGATTAAGCCAAAGCATGCGACCATTATGTTGAATTTGCCTTCGGGGGATTTTTGTCCAGTTGCAACATCGATCGAAGAAAGTGTCACGATTTCAAAAGCTGCAGGCTGCACAATTATGGGAATTTTTTCGTCAAAGTTGACTAAACACGCTTTTCTGTTTTGGAAAAAGTACATCGCGTATTTAGCGTCAGGATCTTCGGATCCAAATATTTGACCATAATCATCCTCGATACAAACTTGATCCATTAATACGTGATTTCTACAATTCCACAATCCAATTATCCCGATCCTTTTGTTGGTGTTGAATATTTTCAACAAATTATCAACTTTGGTAGAATCTTGAAATAAAGTTGAAAGAGATGGTAGAGCAGAACTCTGGCTTCTTAAAATTTTTTGTAGTAATTTGGTTGATAATTTTGTTTGTTTTGGTGCTGAAATTACCGGAGTTGATATATTTGAATTATAAGTTGGTATATTGATTAAGCATTTTGCTAGAACTTCGATATTATGGTCATTTGGATGATCTGTGATGTACATTGGACCTCCACTGATAGCTCTGGCTGCAGCATGAAATTCGCCAAATTTATGGTTTGTTTGAAACATGTCCCTTAAAAACAGGCAAACAATATATTTAGTAAATGCATTTCCAGTGGTGAGTGAATACTTGGGTAATTTAAAGTTAGCACACACCAATCTGGCAAACTATACATCATTGTTGTCCAGATATTATTCATTGTATTCGCATATATATGCCAAACATGAGAATTTTCATCATCTGGGAAATAATCATCGCTGTTTCTACAATTAAAAGATATGTGAGCAATGGCGTATCAACATTATGGATAGCATCAATTGTAAAATCAAAATTATTGCATTTGAGAATCGGCCCTATCCTTGAAATTGCATATACCTGAATAGCGGTCTACTTATACCACCCAAATCTTCTGATCCTGGACCAGATAACATCTGTTGCATAATATTAGAAGTTTGAGCCATACAATAAATTATCCTGTTTTCAAAATTCTTTCTGCATCCTTTCTTCAAAGCAACCTGATATTCTTGCCACCATTTTCGATGTTTAATTTCTCCATAACAGATCAAATCAAAGTTTCCTTGTGAATCAACTTTTACTAAACTAACTCCTTGATCTCTTAAATAATTGTAAAAATCATCGTAAAATTTTTGAATATCTTGTGCTGCAATAAGGCAAGTTGGTCGACCATCATTCTTTTTTACCCGTTCTACTTTGTAGATGGATGATAGTTCAGAAGAAGGATCAACTCCATACCAGTAGCCCCAAAGAGTATGCCTAAAAGTTAAACAGTCGAATATTAATTAAATAAATAATTTATTGAGAAACAATAATTAAATAAATATTTCTTCCCAGCGGGGAATGTAATTCCTACCAAACCCCAAAATGTTTTAAATAAGGGAATTTTCCTTTAACTTTGCTTATCAATCCTTTTAATCCTTCGGGAAACTTTTTAGGATCAGGTTCAAAGCTCTTTAGCTGATCAATTTGATTAACCTGTTGCCATCCATCATCTAATATAACATAACCTACATGTACACCAACACTATCTAATGATTTCAAGGTATCCATTATGTCTTGACCACGTACGTTCTTATAAAATCTATGGTTAAGTATATATTATCACTCTAATATTTCATAATTATTTTTTGTTTCAGATAACTAATATTGATGAATTAAAATCAATTATAGAAACTCACGCGTTCCAAGTACAATATCCAAGGTGATCATAATAAAATTGTTCTTCCTTTTTATCCTTGTTTTCCTCAGATTTGCCAAGAGTTCCAAGAAGAATTTTTATAAGTTTCATGCATGCGCGAGAAACAATATACGGATCTTGTCCAAAACCAACAATAAATTTCGCAGTGGCAGTACTTCCGCTATCATTTATGGTAGACAATTGCAAGTTCCCATCTTTATCGGTTCGAAAACTACTTGTGCATCCGTCAGACGCCAGAGGAATCAGGACAACATAATAACTTGTTGATTGTTGAATTAGTATGTAATAAACGTCCATATCTTGTATGTCTAGTTTACCAGTGCCCGTTATTGGTTCTATCCACCAAGCACTAAGGAAACAAAATTAAGTATGAATTTTTTTTCGCAAATGTGTATTAAATGGAGTTGTCTGGCAAAACCCTTTTCTAGATCTGAAACTATCAATGGGTTCCGAGTTTCAACGGGTTCGAAGGTTTTGACGGTTTACAAAGCAGAATATCAAATATATCGGCGGTAATCTATCTTCCAAGTTACCTCCTATCAGATCGATCGGGTGTTACAAATCAAAATCTTTTGACACCGTTGAAACTTTTGACACTTGGGTTTTGACAGGTAATATCAGTATCAGATAAGAGCAAATAATACATGTACATACTTGAGACGTCGTAATGCAATAAATCGAACCACATTCTGTAAATTTCCAATATTGACACTAGTTGGTTGTCCATTATTAAACTTGGCATCGCTTGACACGCACCAGCAATCAATATTATCTTGCAAATTGTAATTGACATGTTGATCTCCCATTTTTTGACAAAAAATCGAATTTATCAGTTTGTTTCCCCGTTCAACCTTCTGAGTGATATTGGTCACAAATAATTTGCCATTCTGATTTGTGTTCTTGCTGACCCATTGCCATTCATTATCTCCCTCTCTTTTGAATCTTACAGTAAATTCATAATATCCTTCATTAATATGGTTAGTAAAAACCACAGCTTTAAATGTTCGATAGTTTTCTTTAACATCACATCCAATTATTTTTGATGCTTTTCCATCATTTAATTCTTTAAATTCGATGCTGATCCAGTGCGAAGAATGCGAGGAGGTTAAATTTGTCCATAGTTGAACAGTTAATTTATTTGGACGCATCGGTACATCAAGGATCCAGGTTGTAACAATTAAAGATTTTGGGCGATAAACGAGTGTTGTTGAACAAAGTGCTGGCTGCACGAATACTTTCATATTTATTGTTATCGTTATGGTTCAAGAAATTAGAGCCAAAACGAAAAAGAAAATTGCGAATAAAATATAAATTTAATTATTTTTAATGGATTTGATGTTTTTATATTTTATAGTGAAGAAAAATAGCGATGGAGTAAACCAGTATCGCTATTTGTATCGCGTACAAACATGTGAAAATTAATATCGATATCAATATCATCTGATTGATCTTGATTGATCACCGAACAATATATAAATTCACACAGTAACTTATACTCCAAGTAGGTCTTGTAATTATGACTTATAAAATCTGGTATAAATACGGTGAGAGTCGACGGAGAAGTGGTTGATTTGAAAGTGCGATCAAGAAGGAAGTAAGGGCGTTAAAAGATGTGGACGCAGGAGAAATTGCGCTCGGAAGACACAGCGAGGACGTGTCCCTGCGTCCATCACTGGCTGTTGACGAAAGCTTTATAAATAGCGGTGACACACTGCTACAGGTGTTCGTCCGTGGTAATTAACGAAATTACGACGCGGCGTTGGGATATATAGAATAACAATTGTGCTAACTATCATTTGAGGGATACTGTTTGCGACGTTGATTAACTTTTTATCTTCCTTCACGTTCTCTTACATCTGCCTCATGCCGTCAACGACTAATCAGTAGTGCGCACAGAAAGTATGTAGACCCATCTACTGATTTATTTTTTCCATCATTATTATAATACTGTTGTATATACCTATTTTCGAACCTTTTTCTTGTTTTGACCACAAAGGAAACCTTTGAGTATTATAATCTCTCGAGTTACTATCATTTACACAGTGTGGTAATTATTGCGGTAATAGTTTTGGTTTCATTATTATATTACGAACCTTTAATCGGATGATGTCGTGCTGGAATCCACAGTACCGTTTAGCATTGTATATAATATCCAAAGTCTTATTCAAAAATTGTGGGTATTGTGTATGAAATCAGGTATGGTGCAGGAACTCTTAAATCGACAATATGTTTCAATTTTAAAATGTTACTACTCAACATAGAGGCAAAATTTTCAAAATCTGACCGGTAACTTTGTTCTTTATAATAAATTCTACAAAGTTACCGGTCAGATTTTGAAAATTTTTGCCTCTATGTTGAGTAGTAACATTTTAAAATTGAAACATATTGTCGATTTAAAAACCATATTATATTTGGTATAATATATATTTAGGGGGTTTATAGTGTCTACATAATCATTGGGGATATATTTATTGGGGGATACTATATACAGTGTTAAACGGTATGCTGATAGTGGGTGTGAAGAATGTTGCGAACCAAATTTAAAATTTTCTCACAGCCGAAATTAAGGAAATCTTGAAATTTGATACGTATCGATCCTTATTGCAAAAAAGGACAAAAGTCTCACGAAGATCCTCCAACGCCATCTCCTTCAAGCTCTTACATAGCGTGAAGGTGGGTTGTTCAGAGCCCCCGACCAGCGGGGGATGCTTCCGTCTGAAATGCAAGTGTTAGTACGGTTATCATATCGTGGATTTGATATATATATCAAATTTTGGATTACTTGAGTTTCACTTGACAAAAATTGTGGGATAAAAATTAATTGTAACAAGATGATTGGCTATCGCTACTCACCACCCTTGTACAAAAATGCAAATCACACGAATCGATATAGCGATACATGTACGTAGTAAATACCAATGCGTAATACAGTACATGTAACAATAAAGACAAGTTACTTAGATTCTGATTGGTTGGTTATATCGTTATTTATGATTATTAATTTTTCTTCCCACACCTACCGCTATTCGCGAGTTGTTTTCTTCTTTTATTTTTTTTTTGCTGCTGACTTTGTCCCGTTATTCTTTTCTCGCTTACACCTATATTCACACTTCTTTCTTGCTAGTACTATTTACACTCAGTGAGAGATGTTTTGCGAGTTGATTCTTTAGCTTTTCTTTCTTCGAAGTTTCTTCTCTGACTTTTTACTTGTTCTTTTAAAGTAAAAACTGGAGTCATTTTTTTGCTGTTGATTCTTCTTTCCCAAATAGTATATAAAAAAATAAGAAATCACCTTTGTGGTAATACACCTTTACCTGGGGCAGTGATCTAAGAAATCATAAAAAAAAATAAAAAGCAATCACTTCCGTGGTGGTAGTGTATCCACTTTCGTGGTAACATTCCTTTACTCAGGGCAGTGAATCTAAAAAATCATAAAAAGCAATCACCTCTGTGTTAGTGTATCCACCTCTACCTTTGCGGTAGTGCATCCATCCACTTTAGTGGTAATGCACCTTTACCCGGGGCAGTGAATCTAAAAAATCATAAAAAATAAAAGCAATCACCTCTGTGGCAGTGTATCCACCTCTACCTTTGCGGTAGTGCATTCATATACGTACGACGGTGATCAATGCTTTGTACCTTTGATGCAAACGAGCGTTATGGGAAAATCACTGCTACAGAAGAAAATTTAAAATGACGTTTTTGTGGTGTACTCCTGCTTCTGCGAGAGTTCCGCTGGGGTGGTTTTCCGGAACATTCTGCCTATGCTGGTGATGCTTTAAAAAAAACAACCACCATAATCCTAGTCTTCGGTGAACAGCGTGCAGTGCACCTGCTTGCAAACGTTAAGCGAAACTTAAACGAAACATGAACAGTATTGGACGTATCACCAATTGTCTGAAACGCAAAACGGTATCAAATATAGAGCCAACAGTATCTTAGTTTCTCTGTAAATTAATGAAGATGATGTGCAGCTGATAATAAAAGACGAACTCAGGAAGCACTATAATAACTTTATTAAGAAGCGCAGGGAACAACTTGATCAGATTCCAGGCAAACTAAAATTGATCTTCACATTCGATGAGGCACGGTTCTTGCTTTATCTGGAGAAAATTCGATAGATTATTATTACTGGCTTCGGATCACTATTACTTTGTGTACGCTTACTGAGGTGCAAAATAAACATTAACGTGTATTTTCAGTCATAACAGACACGATGGGGGAAGCTTTTAAATTTTGTTTCACAAGTTAAGCATGATCCTTCTTTACAAGTTCAGCATAGAAATCTTAAGTTGTATCCCCCGTGTTATCTCCTCGATACGTTCGACATTCACATCCGTGAGATTGATTTGGAGCCGGGCACCTTGAATGAAACCGCAAAGTAGGACTATTTTTCTGATTTGACAGACTTTGTGGTATGCTCATTTGTCGACGGCCAGTGACCCAATTTTTCGCGGGTTACTAATTGACGATAGTCTTTTTCCTCTTGTCACAAAAATCTTTTTTTTTTTACTGAAAATTTAAAAATACAAATCGCCTAATTTTTGACATTAACAACATCTTTGTCATTTTTTAATTCCTCAGCTTCATGTTCGCGTATTTCAACTTTCAAGGCTATTTCGTAGTTTTATCCTGACCGGTTGGTAAGATAGCAATGGAGCAATTTGGTTCGTGTAATCAAAACGTCTAGATTTTCAATACGGCTCTCCATCCTTGGTTCATACATTCACCTCGACATTTCTCCTCAATCCGAGTTGGCAACCACTTTTGTTTCGTACTATATGCATTTGAAGACCATTAGACTATTGTTACATCTTCATCTGAACCTCTCTTAGCCGTAGCAGCAGCAACTATAATGAATCGTGAGGATGTTAGGATTAGCGACATCCATAACAGTTGGATCCAGGGAATTAGGAAAGGCTCTGTTCTACGTGGATATCGTGGGGAGACTATAGCGCAATTGTTTCTACTAATTGTGTGGGATAAAATGCATCCGTTCGCTCATCTGCTTGAGCGTCAAGTTTGTGAAGCCAATGAGGATTTATGACTAGGATATCTATCAAAGATACTGTTTTAGCAAAGGATGGGTTCGCTTCAACCATTTTGCGGGAATATCGTTGATTTACTCGAGCTGTGCAGCGGTTGCTTGTAAAGAGTAGAAGGCGGTGGTTTAATAATTCCGATTTTAATCAATGGTACGTTGGATGTTGAGAACGTTACATTCATATTGATACAGGTCAAAAACCATGTAACGAAGACAGCAGCATAGCTGCCACAGTGAAACTTACACCTGAATATATGTGGCGATAAAAGGAAGATGTGTTGAAAATCACATGAAACACATCGAACGCGCAATTGCTGTTGGGACAGTCAGGTCAGGCTGGTAATTTGACATTATCGGCGGCGTAACATGTCTCACATTTTAAATTTTACGATATGCATTTGTTTGTTTCAGTTCTGGCGGAAAGTAATGGTGGCCAGTTTTTTTATATAATAAATATTACTTGGATAGTGCCTTTGAGTAGGGCATTATGCCCCTAAAATATCAGTACCTGATGTGATCTCTTTCCGTGTCAATCTAAAAATTTTGTAACTACGTAGAACGTTTTTTTTAACTAAAAAAAAATAATAATTCGATAAATATCCAAAATGTTCGTCTTATTGAGACGAATTTAATAAGACTGACCAAAATTATAAAATCCTGATGGTTATTGAGAAAATAAGTTTTGAAATTTTACAAACCTGCAATCGGGAAAATGACTTGCCATGATGCGTTCCTATTAGATTTCGCAAATTCATCACATTTTTATTTTTTTTAATTGTTATTATCTTGCTTGAGATCTAGCACTTTATTTATTTTGCTTCTATAAAAATGCTATAGTAAAATTTACATAGCAATCTCACCGCCATTACTTTCCGCCGGAACTGTATCTACCGCTACCCTATAAAAATAGTTTTTCACAGCTTCAAAGATCAATTCGAAGACAAATCTTACTCTTCAATGAATTGAAATCAATACTCGCTTTCTTATTGATTGCCTTTTCTGCAGATTACGGAATTCGAAATTTCACGGTGAATAATGTTTCAATCTTTGTCGAAAGCTGGTGATCCCAAAAATCCAACCGTAGTTCTTATTCACGATATCCTGAGTTTCAGACTATTTTTAATCCGATATTCAAGAACGAATTCCTCTACAAAGATCCCCATCTCATTCGGTACGATAGTCGTGGTTCACTTGATAGTCAATACACTCGGGATTACAATGCGCAAGATCTAAAGGCTGTCGCTGATGCGGTTGTTAATAGAGGTCTCGGAAAAAAGATAACTTTGGCCGGCTGGTCAATGATAGCGGCTACAGCAACATTGTTTGTATCTAGGAAATTTTGGACAAAATGAATAACGATAAATCAAGATTACAGACCTAACAATGTCAATATATTTCAGAGGAAGAAATACATGGCTAGTACATTTGCTCGTTTCGCGTAGTTCTTGATAATAAAATATATTACCAGAAAACAAGGTAACAATACAACTTAACCAAGTGTTAAAGGCCATCTATATTTTGGAAGTCCGAAAACAGATCAATCACTGAGGACATCGAAGCTATGGTACATAACATCCAAAGTCACGTTTATATTTTATAAAATTCTTTACTAAGAAGTAAATACAAAAAAAAATTTAATCTGTGTATAGGCCCTTTCTGAGCATATTCATGATTAAATTACTTCTTAGTAAAGAAATTTATCCATTTTATAAAATACAACGTTTGGTGACTTTAGATGTTATGCACCATAGCGATAGTACATGTACAGGATACATGTACGTAATTAGTGAAAACGCTTGCATTTTTAATTATTTTGGAAATTTTTATTATTCGTTTATAATTACAGTGTACACAATAGAAGAACTCTCCCGCTCTCGCAGTTTCTTTATCTTTCTCGAAAATTAATTGCTCGTTAAAAATCATGTTCGAGCTTACAAAAATTCTTAAAGATTTAACCGAATTGCTGAAAACTCGAAGATTATAACATAAATATTATCGCCGGTGAAAACAGAGACATAAAAAGTTTCAGGCTCACTCGTTTATGCTTCGTGTACGTTCACCGTATTTTCGACGTGCATTATCAAAGGGCTGGGCAAGAAAAGGTGAAACGATGGTTTTAAAAAACCAAACATTTCACCTGAAATATTCGAGCTTATACTGAAGTATGTGCATCATTATTATATTTGCAATAATCATGCCAATAAATTTAAATGAATTGGTATATAAAAATACATAGGTATTTATATACAGGACAGGTGTGGTTGATCTCGATCTAGAAAGTGGAGAGAATATCTTGAGCTTACTTGTTGCTGCGGATGAACTCGAAATTCATGAATTAATTCATCATGCGCAAGATAATCTGATTGTAAAAAAGTCAACAAAATCTTGTAAAGATTATGCATACCATTTATCTTCAAGAATCATTCAAAAAATTAAACGAACTTGTCTTAAAATGATCAGTGAAGAACCTCACATGATTTTCAAATCTGAAGATTACTTATCTCTGGAGGAATCAGTGCTTGTATCATTGCTCAAACGTGATGACTTAGCAATGGATGAAATTGAGATTGGAATTCAATTGTCAAATGGGGTGGGTGTTGGAGATATCTCAAATTTGGGTAACCAACCTGTACCAAAATGAACGCCACAAAATTTTGAGACTCGAAAAAACGCTCCATCAATACATTCTGTTGATTCGATATAGTGATATCTCTAGTGATGATTACTTTGAAAAAGTAGTTGTTACCTTAAAAATTCGAATCAACAATTTGCTAAACTACAACCACCTCGATCAGGCATCGTTGATTCTAATATAATTAATATAAGACATATAAAGTTAATTTCATCCAAGTTCAATGAAAATGATATTAGTTCTAATAAATGTGATGTGCTTCAGTATAAATTCAAACTTCTTTATCGTGGCAGCCGAGATGGATTTGTAGCTACGAGGTACCGACAGTACTATGGTTCTCAATATAATACTGTAGTATTTGTGAGGATAAACCAAACAGGAAAATTTATTGGCGGCTATAATCCTAACAAATGGGATGAAAATATTAATCACAATAGATGTAATGATACATTTATTTTTTCCTTCGATAAATGGAAGAGATATTAGCGGTGCAAAAATTTCACGCAACACTCAAAGAGAATGTGCTAAAAATGCAAAATTTATAAAAGATCTATTAGGAGAACCAGAATAGGCAGAACATCTATCACGTAAATTGGTGTGAGAAATTACCCTTCTAATAAGGCTGTTCATGGCATGGTCTTATAATTGTGATTTATTTATCAGCGATAATGTAACCAAAATACTTTGAGTTGGCATAAATATTATAAATATGCAAATCAAGATACATATTATTTCAAAGTAGATGATTATGAAGTATTTCAAGTATCGAAAAAAGATCATGTATAGGAGTGTAATATTTTTATTCTAAAAACATAAATCCATCGAATTTCTTAATTAAACTCTTGAATATAATTATGATCTTGATTAGAATAATATAAACAATTAATACATAATGGGTTTCCATCAGATACACTACCTGGACAAAAGTCTTGCACACCGAAAAATTTTAATTGTACAAAATTACACATAATAATTATATTTCAA